TCCATTATATATGATAAGCTCAAAGTTAAACCCCAACGTATTACCTAAGCAGGTTGGCGGCTTAAAGGCAGAACGCACCTTTCACCGGGTCACATTCACACCCAGCAGCGCAAAACCAGGGGAAACATTGTACATAGGCGTACCCCGCCTAACGGATAACCTAGTATTGGTTCCTGGCACGTTAGCGCTAAGGTTTGACCTAATGGTGCAGCCCAGTACCACGGATGAAAGGTGTTGCGTCAATAACGTAGGCCGTAACCTTGTCTCTAAGATGAGGGTTAAATTCGCCGGGGAATCCCTCTTGGACTTGAACAGATATGATTTATACACCACGTACAAGGACTTATGGTTGACGGCCTTTGACCGCACACAAAGGATAGAACAAGGAATTGGCAGCCTCATCCTGCGTAAGGTTCGTACGCCCGTTAAGACACGGCCCACGGACTCCAGCGGAGAAACGGCAGTAGCAGATGCAAAGCGAATAAAGACGGCCTGTGGGACTAAGTATGTCATCCCGCTGGACTTTGAAGTGATTACGAACCACAGCGTGTACTACCCCAGGCAACTAAGTGAACTAATGCTGATGCTGGTGTTCGCCAAACCCTACGAGGCCGGCAAGCGCGACTCCGAAGCCTTTCATAACCCCAGCATTACTAACGTGGGGGTAAATATCAACGGAGTGCCTAACWAGGTCTACTCCCAGGGAATAAAGCCCGCAGACGTGTACCGGGAGGCAATGCGCAAGTTTGGCGACCAAATTAGTCCTGAGGAATTCTTGAAGGATAAGTACGCGTTATGGATTGACATGCGCACTACCAASGACGAAACCATGCATGGTCAGGGTCTGCGGCTGGTCAACACCCAAGATGGTATCACTTTGGAGATCAAGCGCACAAAGAATACCTCCGCGGGCGACGGCGACAAAATAAACTGCTACGCCTTCGTTGTGTCTGACGCGCAGTTGAGCATAGAAATGAATCAACTAAAGAGCGTTGCGTATTAAAATATTTGACTAATATACCACGTTACGCGTCTTCGAAAACAATAGAGACTTTTAGCAAGACGTTTTTTGCGAGATACCGCAGACCGCTAACCTCAAGATGTCACGTGACTGTCCTCCTGCCGTCACGTTCGTGGTTCAAGGTTCAAGTTTTTATGCCAAGATACCTCTTTTGCGGTAAGTGGTTTACCTCAGGAATTTTTAACTCACATAGAGAGAGAACTGACGTTAAAAGCTATTCATAAAGTAGCTTAACACATAAGGCATTCAGGGGTGCAGTTTTATTGTTCAATTTTTTATTTTTAAAGAGATAGCCCAAATTGAATTGAAGGCATAAATCATCAATGAAAATCAAACATGGCGCCCTCCATGCTCGTTTGCAGACTCGCAAAATAGCTCGTTCTTTTCTTACCTTTATCGAAATAGTCCATAATATAGACAGCTTTTTAGACATTTGCACTCATTTTGGATATATGTCTGAATCATTGCCTTAATGCCCTAGAAATCATGCCTTTTCGCTGGCCTTCTATCATCCAAGATATTTCGCTTGCAACCGAAGTAGCAGCACGAAATCCAAGTAAACCAAGTGACTGGGAGGAGCTAGCAAACATTCTATCCACCGCATTTTCAACTAATGACAAGCCAGTTAGGCTCACAGGTCGTGCTTGCAGAGAAAGATTCGAAAGACTTATTCAGAAGTTTAAGGATGAAGACCAAAAATCGTTGAAGAGGTAAGTTTGTATTGACAAATCTTATTTGGTTTTTCACATTTATATAACAATATTGTCTGGTCTTTCATCTCCAATGACTGTCCAATCATACTAAAATGATTTTCGACAYGAATTATGTGCATTAARAAAATTAGTTTATTTTATTGGTTTATATCTTTGATTGTTTTGTTTGTTTTGTCTTCAATCTGATTGAAGTTCAGCTTGCATGTGCTCTCTTGAAATGATAGTTATTAGTACTCTGGACACTACTGTGAGGAAAATTGGTTTTGAGAAGCAATTGTGCTTGTTTATTTGTTCATTACAATTGAATGACAGTTGAGGAAAACAATGCTTTAAGGCTAATCAGTAATTTTAGACAGACCACTGATATAATAAAATAATAATAATGATAAAAAGATAATGAATATGAACATGTTATGCACATTAATTTGCCAGCTGGCATTCACTAAAAAAGTCTAGTCACTTGACAAAGCGATGAATGGCAGAGAGTTGCTCTTGTCAACAACTCTCATGTAGCTATTTAATTTTATACAAAGAAGACATAATTTACACTTGTTTATTTTGTGTGTTGGTTGTTATTTGTGTGTAGGTCTGGCACCGAAGAAGAGTATTCACACCTCCATCAACTACTTGAAGACATTTATATATATAGACAAGACATGGAGGAACAGACAAAAAAAAGAAAAAGAGGCTAAGAAAAAGAAAGAAATTGAAGATAAAAAGAATGGAGAAGAAATGAGGGCAGCTGCTCTAACTGGAATGGGAAGTGAGTTTAATACCCAAATATTAAAATGTTATCAACTTGAAGGAATTAGTTTTGTCTGTTTACAATATACTAAAAAGCTRAAGAAACTCAATATTTAATATTTTTCTAGAGAGAAAAGACAGGGCTTGTGAAAGTGATGAAGAATCTGCAGAGGATGACGACGATGATGATGATACCACACCTGGTATGTACACGTAGTTTGAAAATGATAGCATGAAAATATTATTTAGAATTTATTTATTGRCCATCTACTCTCTCTCCCTCTCTGCTGCATACCTGTTACCAGGTATGCAGTTTAATTATTGCTTCAAACTGAAGTAGCTTTTTTGGTGGAATGAAAATCAGTTATACTTACTCACGTAAAGCAYTTTTCTCTTTCAGAAACTAAACGTAAGACACCCAAAAAGAGAGCCACAAGACTTTCTGCTTTGGAACTTCTCGAAAGAAAGAGTGAAAAGAAGGTTGCCTTTAAAGAGAAAGAATTGGAACAGCGAAAGCTTGAGTTGGATTTTCAGAAAGAGAAATATCGAGAGGAGGCAGAGGAACGTAAGGAGCGCCTTAAACTGGAGTTAGAAGAGRGGAGAATGTTTTTATCTCTTTTGAAAGACAAGCTCTGACTAACTAAGTTATGATTATTTATTTAGGATGACATAGAGTTCAGGCTGTCATCCCATGAAGTAAAGCCATCATACTTTGTTGATGGATTTACTGCATTTTCAATCAAAATATTTATATAATTTTTAATACATCTTGAATACATTTGTGCACATTGAATATTTATAAAAGATGTTGATATAATGAGAGAAATTATTTATTACAAAGAGGTTATGGAATCTATATTTAATATGGAAAGATTGACATATTGTTGAAGTTCTAATTATTAAAAAAATACATCATGTTATATGTGATCTACTGGTTTTAGTTTGAAAGGTATGTCTCGAGTTCAGGAGGATCAAGCTCAAAATATGAACCAGTAAGAGATCCATACAAACATGTATGACAGTTAGTCAAAATAGTAGCAACCAAATAGTACTTTGCAACTGGCTGCATGAGGACCTTCAAGTTCTTTTTAAAATCCAGAAATGCAAAGSTTTGGATGATCTTTCCGAATCCCCATTCAACACACTCTCTGACTTGACTCATCCGAGTGTTAAATTCCTGCTCATCATTAGTCAAGCAAGCTCCACGAAAAGGGGATAGGATATTGCGTGTGAGACCGTAGGCGGGATCCCCGTACACAACATAAGGTTCTCCATTTGGCTTGTGTAGTCTTTGCAGCTTGACAGCTAACCCACTTTCTCCAAGCATAAATGCATCATGCCTCTTTCCTTCAATAGGCCCAAACATGTGAGCAATAAGCCCATTGGGAGCTTGAACTGACTGAAAAAATAGAATTCATACAAATGTTACCCCCTTAAATGAGCACTGATTATGCCAGTAAAGCAAGAATTAGACACAGCTCAACAGGGGCGTAGCGAGGGGGAGCGGCTGCCCCCCAAAAAATTTGGGAAACTTTGTTAAAATGTATAAGAAAAAATAATAAAAATTCAATATTTATTAGCTTTTTACCATGGGCACCCCCCCCCCCCCAAATTTTCCTTTTCCTGGGTTCTCGCTATGCCCCTGCAGCTCAACGTTTTCATATGAAAGTTCTTATACCTGAAATTTTAT